GACATGAACAAAAATTTAGCTGCCGGGGATTTCATTAGAGCCAAACAAGAGACAAAAATTAAAGACAACCTCAATGTCAATGAATAAAGTATATCATTCTATGTGATAACATTTTCTGTAACATTTTAAAATGCTGTAGAACAATCTATAATGAGTCATTCAATAATATCAGACATATTGTATAAGGGGGTAATATATATATATATATAAAACAAGCCAGTGTCGTGACGACCAAACGACCGAGAGGTGCTCAGTCCCTCCCCTGCAGCTCACAGGCTCCGATCGCAGCAAGGCGGGCGGGACAGCGAGCACCATGAGCAGAGGCAGGAGGGTGGGCGGGGCTGCGAGCAAGGCGGTAGGTGGGTGGGGCTTCAAGCAGCAGCGGGGTACCGCACAGGATTTCTCACGCTGGGACTCTAGTCTATCTATATAAAAGGCTAAGTGACCGACCGTAGGTCCCACAACTGTCCAACCAACCTACCAGCAGGTACATATGATACGCACTGGCAATTTACATATAAAGCTCTCGCTGACACCAATCGCATGTGTGTATTTTGATCTGTCACTGTCGATCATGAATTTGGTTGACACTTCTATTATAGAGAAAGGGCAAATAGTGATATTAAAATATTTCTAATTAATTTCCCTTCAATGTGCACGAATCTGTGCACTGGCCCACTAGTAATAAATAAATATTAAATTTACAGGAAACTTAATAAGAAAACTCAGGGTATAAATGCACATATTCATATAATCAATTGAAAGGGATCAAATGAAAGTCCTAAATTAACTTATTAGTAGCCTAAGAAAAAAACATTTAAAAAATTTATTTCACACTAAGGAGAAAAGAACAAAAATACCACCTCCTTGTCCTAAAACATGATGAAAACAAGACGAAGATGAAAAGATATAAACTATCAAGGTATTTCCTAAAGGCATAATTTCTCAAAGTCCCCCAGTTTAAGGCTAGTAAGCGTCAACATGCCCGTAAATCCATGCCACACTGACTGGTCAAAGAAAAGAACATGTCAAAACTAATCTGTTTGGGATTTCTCTGTAACCTTAAGGCCAACACTGAAAACATCCTCTAACTTACGATGTTAAGACACTTTTAATGCACTACTTTTCACAACTGTCCTTATATTCCTAAATTCCTTTTCTCATTAAAAGTCTATTAGGTTAAACCGAAGATCCAACATGTAAACAACTTCCATTAGGTTTCCAGAGGTCAGTAAAACCAATATCTCTCATACATCTAAACTCTACTGCATTTCTTGATGTCAGCAATCATGTCATCTACTTCTTAGGTAACTCACAGCTTTTGAAGCAACTAGGCTTCTTGTGTACAACAGTCCCTTCAATGACATGGACACACACACACATCTGTGTAGTTTATACTGGTGTGCATGCAGAAGAGAAATAGGCTTTGACCATCTGAGAAGCTGATTATGTATTACAAATACAGAAATCTTCTAAAAATGTTCTACACATAATCACATAGGGTACTGACATGCTCATCCAGAACCAGGTGCATCATAGTGCTTGACACATGAGATGCTGAACAAATGTTTATTGAAAGAAATACATAAATGACCGTCTTCAACTCTGACTCATAGCTATTCTATTATTATGCTAAAAAATGTTCCCTGAATTAATAATAGTTTTCATTTCACCAGCAACCCTGTTCTAATCACTCTTCAATTTTCTACATCTGTCTGCCAGGTATTTGGAAAGAGGAAGTATTTCCTATGCACACTATATGAGGGAGTATTTCTAAGTAAATGAATCAGACTGACCACTCTAGGTTATAAAAAGGCATACAACAATAAAGAGAAAGGAAAGGAGAGATACAGATAAGAAGGGAACCAACATCTCAGAAAATGAAATATGGAGCCAAAAGTAGGGATTATTTGTAGAACAGTCTATTCCTCTAGCCCAGTGGTTCTCAACCTTCTGGCCCTTTACAGTTCCTCATGTTGTGACCCAACCATAAAATTATTTTCGTTGCTACTTCATAACTGGAATGTTGCTACTGATATGAATCGTAATGTAAATATCTGCTATGCAGGATGGTCTTAGGCGACCCCTGTGAAAGGGTCATTCGACCGCCAAAGGGGTCGCACCCACAGGTTGAGAACCGCTGCTCTAGCCCCTAGTGCCACACTGCCACTCTTCCTCCCCTGGCCAAAGGGGGAAAAAAATAGAGAAAAAATGAGGCTTCCCTTCTTGATAAAAAGAGCAGTTACTGAGAAAAGATCTCTACAAGTTGACATTAGGAATTCACACAGCAGAATAGCCAGTTCCAAAGCCTCATGACAACAATTCCAATCAATGACTGGAGTTCCCCATCAATTCTTCCGTATCGTGCTCTTTAAAAAGAACAACCAGTAACCATCGTGCATTAGAAGAAAGCCACCACAAGAGAGAAAAACCAATAAAAAATTACCCTGCAGGAAACAAAAATAATTTGAGGCAAAAAAAAAATATGAGGTTTCCCTTTTGACACTTTTCATCCTCATTCAGAAGATAGCATTATCACCCAGCCGGTGTGGCTCAATGGTTGAGCATCCACCCATGAACCAAGATGTCAGTGTTCAATTCCCAGTAAGGGGCCATGCCCCAATTGTGGGCTTGATCCCCAGTAGGGAAAGTGCAGGAGGCAGCTGGTCAATGTTTCTCTCTCATCAATGTTTCTATCTCTCTCTCCCCCTTACTTACTCCCTCTCTAAAAATCAATAAAAACATATTTTTAAATGTTAGCATATCCATAAAACAAGAAAGAAAAATTCAAGAATCAAAAAGAATTTCTGGAAATTAAAAAATGATGACAGAGGTAGCCACTGTGGCGGTGGGAGCCGAGCCCCTTGTACAAATTTCATGCATTAGGCCTCTAGTATGTATATAGATATATATGTATATAAGTATAAAAGAAAAAGAAAAAAGCAACAGCACATGATAGTAAATACAGTGCAAGAAAAAATAAATCCAATTAGAAGGAAGATTAGACATCTGGTAAATTGAATAATGGCCCCACAAAGATGTCCACATCCTAATCCCTGAAATTTGTGAATATGTTACCTTGCAGGTGCAGATGTGATTAAGTTAAGGGTCTTGAGATGGAAGGATTATCCTGGCTTATCTGGATGGGCCCAGTGTAATCACAAGGATTCTTCTAAGAGAGACAGGAGTGTCAGGGACAGGGGCAGGTGAAGTGACAATGAAAGTAGAGAGAAAAAGGTCAAATTTTCCTACACAACAGGTTTTGAAGATGGAGGATAAGGTCAAGAGCCAAGGTACGCAGGTGGCATCTGAAGCATCTGGAAAGAATGCAACTCTGCCAATTATCTTCACTTAGGATTGTGATCTTTAGAACAGTAAGAGAATAAATGTATCTATATATATAGAACCCTAATATGCAAATAGACCAAACAGTGGAAGAACCGAACAACCAGATCCTGAGCAGGAAAGGGCGGCCTGCAGCCAGCTCCTGTGTGTGCCTGCCCTTGGGATCACAGCGGCGATCACGGAGCAGGAAAGGGGGGCCTGCAGCCAGCTCCTGTGTGCGCCTGCCCGTGGGATCGCCCTGGAGATCATGGAGCAGGAAAGGGTGGCCTGCAGCCAGCCCCTGTGTGCACCTGCCCCTGGGTCACCACGGCGATCCCACAGCAGGATAGGGCGGCCTCTAGCCAGCCCCCCTGTGCGCCTGTCCCTGGGTCGCCCTGGCGATCCCACAGCAGGAAAGGGCACCCCACCCTGGCCACAGCTCAAGGGAGAGTACAACATGCAGTGGAGGCCAGGAGCCTGAGAGATCAAGAGAGGGGCGCCTCCAAGGTGTGGCTGGGGGCAGGCCCCCAGCAGACACACACATACACACACACACACACACACACACACAAACACACACACGACGCCTGCACCGAGCCTCTGCTGCCAGACTGTGGGCATCAGTAGGACATCCACTGAGGGCTCCCGGACTGAGGGGCAGGCTTGGCTGAGGGAACCCCATCCCCCAGTGCACGAATTTCGTGCACCGGGCCTCTAGTATTATATAAGCAACTAAGTTTGTGGTAATATGTTTCTACAGCCATAGGAAACTGATACAAGACACCACATGGAGAGACCACATCAAAGCCAAGAAGACAACCGAAGCACCCCAGCAGAGAGCAGAACCTAGACATGTGAGACAAGCATCTTGGATGTTCCAGCTCAGTCCAGGCATCAGCTGAAGCTGCATAAATGACCCCAGCTAACACAACATGGGCAGAAGAAATGCCCAGTTAATATGAAGAGTAACATGCGCAGATTAACCTTGCAACCTGAAGCAACTTTAAAACTGACAACCCACGTGAACCAGTGATTTTTCAGACACTGGGCATCATCAAGGAGCACAAGACCCTGAACCCTGAAACAAGGGAAGCAAATGATTCCCAGCTTACGGTTTGGAGAGTTTCCAGAGTATGTTGCAAAGTAGGGCAGGGAATCCTAAATAAAGCCTGGGTACAGGTTTAAGGCATACAGTGGCAGTGATGACAAACAGCTCTCTAGAAATCTACCTGAAGATTCTACTTGTGGATGCCTCCATTCTCCAACCCTCTCTTTAACTGGACCATACTCCACAGCCTTAAGATACTTTTAAGAAGACTTATTCAGGCATCCGTACTACCTGTATCTATTCTTATATCCTGCTTTCTTAATCAGTAGCTCACTATACCTATCTCACTGTTTCATCTGATGCCTTCCTTAATGCAATCCTTGCATAAATCAAAACAGCTATGAGTTTAAAATAAATATGAAACATTTGGATAGAAATTTACATAACTGCAAACAGGGATTTACACAAGGCCAGGGTCATTATATAAGACCAGTAGTTGGCTTGGGTATGTGTTTCAGGTACAGTGAAAAAGTGCAAATGTGGCGCAGTTACATATTAACAGACAAGGGAGTCTGAAGAGCTGTCACAGAGTACCACCTACAGGACACAAATGGGAAAACAGCCTTACCTTTGCTCTATCAGACCATCCAAAGGACTGCACTGTTACATCCAATCGCTTCATCAACATCCGCCGACGGCACTCATATTCACAGGAAAGAGCATCATTGATTCTTTCCAGTTGTTTCTAAAGAATTTGAAAACAAATATCATAAATTTTAGACTCTTTCATTTTGCAAAGAAAAGAAGTTTTAAAATTGTGGTCAATACTTCCTACTGATTCAAAAGATACTGTACTTGAGGGCCATTTTCTGATCCCATGAGACTTTTCATTAAATTATACAAATAATAAAGAGTATTTGATAGAACATTTGTAATATTCAGAAGATAGTAAACATATAAATTAAATTTTACAATTGGCGAATTTACCTCATCTTCGATCAAATGTGTTAATTTAAGTAAAACATCTTGTTAAGTAGTGGGGACCAATAAGGAAAGATCATGTATATAGATGAACCGTATGTATGTATATAGATATATATGTATATAAGTATAAAAGAAAAAGAAAAAAGCAACAGCACATGATAGTAACGTCCAAACCAATAACGTCCCATCTTGCTGGTTTTGAACTATTATCCTTTTCATATCACAATTATACTAACATCCTCGGCACTATAAAAACTCTTGGCCAGATATTTTTAAAAGTAATAATCTGATTGAAGAAGTATTTGGACTTATCTATACATATAAAACCCTAATATGCAAATATTAGGATATGCAAATGGCGGAACAACCGAAATACCGGTCGCTATGACATGCACTGACCACCAAGGGGGGTGCACAGAACATGGCGGGCATCAGCAGCAAGTGGGAGAGCACAGAACATGGCGGGCAACTGCTGCGGCGGGATAGTGGAGCAGGTGAGTGGGGGCACCAAACCAAGGTGGGGCACTGGTCACTGTCATTAGAGCAAGCCTCTGATGGTTACTGAAAATTCTTTGCTCCTGCGTGCCATGATGCCGCCGGGCACTAGCACCTGCTGCCGGCACCAGCCCTGCTTGCATCCGCTGCCGACGCCAGAGCCACCTCTTACACCTACTGCTGGCGCCCCGCACCAGCCCCGATTGCTCGGAGCCCTCAGGGCTTCTCCACTTCCCCATGCTCCTGAGGGGCAATCAGGGCAGCAGCCGCCACTCACACCTGCTGACAGCGCTGGCCCTGCTTGCACCCACTACTGGCGCTGGCCCCAACCACTCCATGCCATCAGCGGGTGCGAGCAGGACCGAGGGAGCGGGGCTGTCGGCAGACGGGACCGGGGGCTGTGGTGGGAGGGGCCGGGAAGGGGCGCGGAGGATGGGCTGAGACCCACCCCTGTGCTCACCGCAGCCTCATGGCCCACAGTTCCTTTTGAGGTGCACAAATTCATGCACTGGGCCCCTAGTTATTCTAGATATCAATTCATTTTAATTCTCCAAAATAATAGATGCACACTACACACTGTAAAATCTAAATGCTTATTTATAAAATTAAGTCATATTCACTAGGTGAATTACATACAACTAATAAAAGATAGGTGATGGGGACTTACTGTTTGTTCCAGATTTAAGTCCATTTTCAACAGTGGTTTTCCCACATGATTTTTCTGGACTTTTGCGAGAATATCTTTCACCTAAAAGTAAATAAATAAAATAGATTGTCAAAATGTATATTCTTTAATTTAAAACAATCTTATTCTTTAATGCTATAGAATAAATAAAATGTTAAAGTGAAATAACTAAAATATACCTTTAGCCCTAGCCAGTTTGGCTCAGTGGATAGAGTGTCAGCCTGCAGACCAAGGGTCCTGGGTTCGATTTCAGTTAAGGGCATATACCTTCGTTGCAGGCTCCTCCCCAGCCTGGGCCCTGGTGGAGGCTCTTGCAGGAGGCAACCAATCGATGTGTTTCTCTCACATCAATATTTCTCTCTGACTTTCCCTCTCTCGTCAACTCTCCCTAAAAATCAAGGAAAATATCCTCGGGTGAGAATTAACAAAAACAAAAACAAATAAACAAAATAAAATATACCTTTACATACTAGGAAAGAATATCACTACAAAGCAGAATATCTTTTTCTCTTTCTTAACATATTTTTATTGATTTCAGAGAGGAAAGGAGGAGAGAGATAGAAACATCAATGATGAGAGAGAATCACTGATTGGCTGCCTCCTGCACGCCCCCTACTGGGGACTGAGCCAACCTGGGCATGTGCCCTTGACCAGAATAGAACCTGGGCCCCTTCAGTCGGCAGGCCGATGTTCTATCCACTGAGCCAAACCAGCTAAAGCCAGAATATCTTTTTCAAAGAGCATTAGCTATATTAATTCAAGCTATAACACATCTTTTTCAGAATAAGAAATTATGTACATAGACAACTACAGTAGTTACAAGTTTTATAATAAGAATTGTATATTTTATGTAAAACAATTTTGGAGTTTCTTCTTAAGATGGTACTCTCTTACATCCTGGTAAATGCTCTAAAAGAATACCATTGACGAGCACATTGGTTTTTCTCAGTTAAGTACTATGTACACATTCCAATTATAAGTATTCTGGTTTCATTGTTCAGCAGGACACCATAGGAGACCAAGCCCACTAACTTATAGTCACCACATACAAAATTCATTATTTTTGCAAACACATAAAAGAAAAAAATATGGAAATATTTCCTTTTGATAGGTACTGAATGGAAAAGGAAGTCCTTTTAAGTAAATATTTAGCCACAATGACTCCAGTAACAACTACCTTATAATTAACCTGTCAGCATTTGAACACAGGCATTATAGCCTGCCTTAAGTAGGGAAAAGAGGTTTGGGGAAATTATTAATACCAACTGGAACCCATAAAAGGAAAGGAAAAAGCCTTTAGAAAGAGCCCAGAAATCTGTTTCATTGTGAAACAGTCCCCAAACATTTTAGCCAATACCAGATCATTGCTAATCCAGAGGAAATGAGGGGAAAAGAAACTCTGAAGAGTAACTTGTTAACTCTAGAACAGTGTTTTTGAGCTGGGATTTACTTACTAATTCTTTTAGCTGTGCCCAGCTGGTGTGGCTCAGTGGTTGAGCGTTGACCCAGGAACCAAGAGGTCACTAGTCAGATTCCCGGTAGGAGCACATGGTTTGCAAGTTCTACCTCTGCCCCCCAAAAGAGTTTCTAATACTGCTTTCATCTTAATACTAAAATTTTCTCACATTCATTAAGGCAAATATTTTTTATTTTTCAGTTCATAAAAAAATCAATGCAAAAAAAATACTTTACTTAAGGTTTTAGTTTAAAGCAGTATGTCTAAACATGGAGTGTTAATACCTATTCTTAAGGTGAGAATTTTCTTATCATTCCCTTACGAGGCTCCTATAAAACCTAGAAATTAGGTCAGAATTTGGTCTGTGAGAGTAGAATTCTCGCTAACATATGGCTCGACTAAGAAAAAGGGTAGTTTAATAATTGAAAATAATTCAAAAAGCTTGAAGTAGGTAGTTTGTGGTTTTCACTCCATTAGAATACTCATTCATTCACTCTACAACAAACACTAAATACTTATCCACCAAAAATTGTGCTGCCAACGAGAACTACATTGCAATTCTATTAACAATATCCACTAAAAAAATTTAATTTGCCTTTGACCTTATAGGATAACTCTACTTGTTTCACTATGGTGTATTTCAACCTTGTTTAGGAAAGGGATCCTTAAATTTGCAAAGTGATTTCTATCATGCAACTCTCAAAAGCCTAAGGCAGATTAGGTCACAAACATATTAACTCCAAATCCAAAGTTTAGTTTTCATGAAGATAAACTCTCGTGAAATGGAATGTATATCTTATACTTAAAAGGAAATATTTACATTTTTTTAAAATATATTTTATTGATTTTCTACAGAGAGGAAGGGAGAGAGATAGAGAGTTAGAAACATCGATGAGAGAGAAACATCGATCAGCTGCCTCCTGCACATCTCCCACGGGGGATGTGCCCGCAACCCAGGTACATGCCCTTGACCGGAATTGAACCTGGGACCTTTCAGTCCGCAGGCCGACGCTCTATCCACTGAGCCAAACTGGTTTCGGCAGCACATTTTAATACAACATTTACATGTTAGCATTTAGTTAAATTTTGGGGAAAGAAAAATAAAACAAATACAATACCTTTGACTCCACTTGGTTTAACATAAGTGGAATGTCAGAAGTTGCTGAGTTGGGAACACCAAGGGTATCACAGATAGCTTGAACTTCCTGATAAATTTCACTGTTTTTATCTAATTGAGAATTTTTACGTTTCTTGTTCTGTAATATCTGTAAAGCTTGAAGCTCTGTACTTAAAAATACTATAAGAAAAAGGAAAAACAAATAATGTTAAAATGTACACAAACTCCTTAAAAATCCCATTTCTGGGCATATATCCAAAGGAACTGAAGTCAGGATCTAAAAGAGATATGCATTACCATGTACACAATAACCAAGATATAGATAATAAACAACCTGTGTTCTTTGACAGATGAATGGATAAAGAAAATGTGGCATATACATACAAAGGAATATTATTCGGCCATTAAAAAAAGGAAATCCAGCCATTTGTAACAACATAGATGAACCTGGAGGCCATTGTGCAAAGTGAAAAAAGCCAGACACAGGAGCACAAATACTACATGTCACTGTGACGAGAAATCTAAAACAGTCAAACTCATAATACAGAAAGTAGAATGATGGTTGCCAGGGGGACGGTGAAACAGAGTTATTAGTGAAATATAAATTTTTTAAGAACTAGTGATCTGTTTTAATGACTTTTAAAATCAGAGGGAAGTTGGCATAAGTCCCCATAAGCCAAGTTGGATACACAGTGATCAGATTATATAACATAAGTCCTAGAGATCCACTACTTCATCGCATTGTGGCTATAGTTAACAGCACTGTACTGTAATTTTTAAATACTTAAAAATTTGCTAAGAGGATAGATCTTATGCTGTATTCTTATCACACAAAATAATAATAAAGTGGAAGAAAACAAACAAACAAAAAGACTGTGCCTACCCATAGTTTAAAGTGCAGTAGGAGAGACACACCAGTAAATCAATAATTTAAGAATGTATAAAAATGTGTAATATTCTGATAATATATTCTCTCTTTCATATACAAAGACTGCTCAAGCCAGGGGAGAACGTATAGCTCTAACTAATCTACAAGCAGATAGAGTATAGAGTAATCTTGATTATTTGCCTTCAGGATAGACCACCCCTTTACTGTCACCATTTCATTTAAGTCTTTCAACAGACATATTTAAGAAAATTACTCAAAATCTTAGATGGTTATAGTCTTATTTTAAATTAACTTTCACCACAGTTGTTAAAATATTAGGGTTCTGCTTGTTTTTATTTGTTTAAAGTTACATATACACACACACACCATAATTTAATACGTACAGTAATTTTAACTTCAGCTAAGCAGAAGAAGTAACTGAGAAACTTTAAAAGTATACTAGTAAGTGCCAGGATCCCATCCTCAGAGATTCTGAACCAGATCTGAAGTAGGAATAGGACATCTGTGTGGTTTGTTTTACACCTAAGGTGATTTTCATGGGCAGACAAAATTGAGAGACACTGATTTAAAGACTTCTCCATGCAATCTACACATCAGACAGTCTAAAGAGCCCACAAAAAGTTAAGACCAATAAGTATCAAACTTTGCTTATGAGGATATGCCAAGGTCTCTCTGATTTCAAAATTTCATAAAACAAATCACCAGTTCTTCAAAAATTTATATTCTGTATAGAACCTTGGCTGAAGTCCACCTTGTTCTATGGAAGCATGCTCTATATAACAGTACAAACAAGAGTTCAGTCTAGTATTTAAAATGCTAATCCATGCAGATAGTAAACAATACAGTAAAAGTCTTCTTCCTACCACAGATCCTCAGATTCCCCTTTCCCTGAGGAAATCATCATTAGTTTCTTGGCTATCTTTTTAGGCATATATGTGTATGTATATTTAATATATGTATCTACCACCTATGCACTTTTCTTTTTTTCTACAAGACATACTACAAATGTTCTGTATATTCAATTTTTATTTACCAATATAACTTAGAGACCATTCCACATCAGCACATTTGATCTGTTCTCATTCTTACGGCTATAAAACGGTATCATTGCAAAGATATGTATCACTGCAAAGATGTGCCATTGCTACTTAACCACTACAAACAATGCCATAGTGAACATCCTTTTCATATATCTTTGTACACTTGGGGAAATAAATATGTATGCCTAATCATAAAATTGCCAAGCCAAACGGCAGGTGAATTTCAATGGTATTAATAAACCCTTCCAGAGGTAGTACCAGTTATTCTCCCACCACACTCTAATGCCTATAGTATATAAGAATGCTTAGTCCCCCAAACTTTATTATGACTTAAAAACATTTTTTGGGGGGGAGGTATTTGCTAACTCAGTAAGTGAAAAAAAAAATGATATCCTATCATTTTGTTTTTTTATAAAACTTTCACTTTCATGTTTAAAAGTGATTTTAAAAAGTTTTTCTATAGAATGCCTTTGTCTTATGTACATTATATATTTTTCCAGATTTTTTTCTTCTTGATTTACAAAAGTTCTCCACATAGTAAGGAATTCGGCCCTTTTTATTTAATACATGTTGCACACACTTCCAAGAAAATGAAGAAGGTTCTTATATATGTTTCAACACAGTCAAACCAAAGATAAAAATGGAATAGATGCTGATAAAATTGGTATAACCTTTCTGGAGCAAAATATGGCAATATATACCTAGACCAGAGATCTTTTTTTTAAATGTTCATAATCTAGCCCTAGCCCGTTTGGTTCAGTGGATAGAGCGTCAGCCCTCAGACTGAAGGGTTGATGGTTCGATTCAAGTCAAGGGAACATACAGTGATTGCAGGCTCGATTCCCAGCCTGGGTGGGGGCATGTGCGGGAGGCAACCAATCAATGTGTCTCTCTTACATCAATAATTCTTTCTCATTGTCTGTCTCTCCCCCTTCCTTCCACTCTCTCTAAAAATCAGTGGAAAAATATCCTCAGGGGAGGATTAACAAAAAAAAGTTCATAATCTAAGTAAAAGTAATCCAAAATTATAAATAAATGAATGTAAAATAGAAAAAAATAAAACACCCAAATTTGAAACCTATTAAATAAATGTTATGTCCATAGCATAGAATGTTATGTAGCCAATTTAAATATTTTTTAAATATTAAGTGATGGAGAAATGCTCACAATATATTAATTGAAGAGGAAGAGGAGAAGGAACTATATCTGTAACAAGATCTCAATCTTATTTAAATGTGGTGGACAAAGGAAAGAGAGAAGGAAAAGAAAATATGCCAAAAGATAATTCACAATTCTCTCTGAGAAGTAAGATTATAAATGATTTTGTTCTTTACAAGTTTATCTACTCTGTAAGATTTCTATGATAAGCATGCAATTTCTTAATATATAACTTCATAACATAAAATTTACCATTCTATTTTTAAGTGTACAATGGCATTAAGTACATTCACACTGTTGTGCAACCATCACCACATCCTTCTCCAGAACTTTTTCATCTTCCCCAGCTAAAACTCTGTACCCCTTTAACACTAACTCTCCAACTTACCCCACCCCCAAGCATGTATTTTCATAATCAGAAAAGCTATACCAACTTCTCCTCTATCTCCTCTTTACTTTACTTGCACCAGAAGCCTATCTTACCTATTGAAGAAGCCTATTGCTGAGCTTCTTCACAGTTAAGGGAAAAAGGGAAACATGATGAATTCCATAGTTCTCACTGACTGGCATAAAGAACATGCAAGTTCCTCTAGGCCACTGGTCGGCAAACCACGGCTCGCGAGCCACATGCGGCTCTTTGGCCCCTTGAGTGTGGCTCTTCCACAAAATACCATGTGCATGCGCGCACGTACAGTGCGAATGAAACTTCGTGGCCCATGCGTAGAAGTCGGTTTTTGGCTTGGGCGAGTCTATTTTGAAGAAGTGGCATTAGAAGAAGTGGGGGGTGTCCGTCTGACGCAGCGCAGGTGGGCCGCGGGATACGCAGCGCGGGGGGAGGCGCGCGCGATTCATGCACGAGTTGAGTGAGAATGGCTATAAGACTAGTGTGGATGGGAGAGTTGGAAGGGGTTGACCTCAGCGAACGTACCTCAATCAGATTGAGGACGTTTTTAGCAAAGGCCAGCTCAGGAGTACCCTAATTAAGTTAATAACAATGTACCTAACTATATAGTTTAAGTTTAAAAAATTTGGCTCTCAAAAGAAATTTCAATCGTTGTACTATTGATATTTGGCTCTATTGACTAATGAGTTTGCTGACCACTGCTCTAGGCCATGCTTCTTAGCTTCCTTTCTATTCCAATATACCTAAGGGATACTATGACCCCCCCATTAATAACAATAATACATTAAGTCAGTGACTCACACTGAATGGAAGGAAGATGGGAAAATAGTATAAGAAATGAGGGGGAAGACATAATATTTATTCCACCCAACACACAAGGTAATTCAAATGTCAACACTTCTGGCATCCCTAGTTAAACACACACAATTCCTGCTCTAGTACAACAAACATTACTAACACTGGAGCCTACAAGGAATATATCATCACATGGATCTTTTTATAAATGGTACAACCTAAAACAATAGAAATCTTCAATAACAGATGTTAGAAAAATTCTTTCAAATGGTCATTGTTTGCAGAACTTTCAAAAGAGCATAAAATTAAAAAAGTTTTGAAGGGACCCAGTGCAAATAAATGGATTTTTATTAATGGTAGTTGTTTGGATATAGGATAATTTTACTCCAAATTAACCCCTGATGAAAATAGGCCACACGTGCCCAGGCCAGGAAGCTCAATTGATTAGCAGTGGTTCTCAACCTTCTGGCCCTTTAAATACAGTTCCTCATGTTGTGACCCAACCATAAAATTATTTTCGTTGCTACTTCATAATTGTAATGTTGCTACTGTTATGAATCGTAATGAAAATATCTGATATGCAGGATGGTCTTAGGCGACCCCTGTGAAAGGGTCGTTCGACTGCCAAAGGGGTCGCGACCCACAGGTTGAGAACCACTGGATTAGAGCATCATGCTGATATTCCAAGGCTGTGGGTTCAATCCCCAGTCAAGGCACATACAAGAATTAACCAAAGAATGTGTAAATAAGTAGAACAACAAATCAATGTCTCTCTCTCTCCCCTCTCCCTCTTATTCTTTCTCTAAATCAATAAATACAAATTTTAAAGAATGAAAAACAGGCCACACTCACTAGAACTCTTGTGGTCCAAGGGTGCAATTTTTTTTAAATTGATATACTCCTAATGCCTAGAGTAGTTTCTGGTACAATAGTAAATGATCAACACATATTTCTGAATCTACCACTATCACTCAAAGACTATCACTAAAGCAAGATCTAATAATCTGCTTAGTAGCTTAGTTTCAAAGAATTTCAGGCCCGGTTCACAAAAATTTATGCACTCAGGGGGTCCCTCAGCCCGGCCTATGCCCTCTTGCAGTGTGGGACCCCTCGGAGGATGTCCACCCCAGTGGAGACCCTCACCCCATGGAGGTTTGGCCAGCCTGGGTGAGGGGCTGATGGCTGTTTTCAGGCTGGCCACACCCCCTTTAGGGTGGGGGGTCCCCACTGGGGTGTCTGGCCAGTCTGGGTGAGGGGCTGAGGGCCATTTTCAGGCTGGCCAAGCACCCTGGCGACATAAGCTCTCAGCCTCTCCTTTTCTTCTTTTTTTTTTTTATCCTGGGATTTACCTTCTATAATTGAAACTTTGTTGCCTTTAGCAGAGGCCTTCAGAAAGCTTGGCTTCCTCCATCGCCAGGGGCAACCCACTCCTGCTCGCTCCAGCTCCGTGGCCACAGCTGGCTGAAAGCAGGTATCTGGGGTTTGTTTACCTTCTATAATTAAAACTTTGCTGCTTTCAGTGGAGCTCAGAGCCAGGCCGCGGCAGGCGGGGAAACTTGGCTTCCTCCATCATTGGAGCAAGCAAGCCTCCTGCTCACTCCAGCTCTGTGGCTGCCGGCCGCCATCTTGGTTGGGTTAATTTGCATATAGTCGCTCTGATTGGCTGGTGGGCGTGGCTTAAGGCGTAGCAAAAGTACGGTCAATTTGCATGTTTGTCTTTTATTAGGATAGGATAGAACTTTAGAAATGACCAACTTTAGCCACCTAGTCACAAATGCTAGGAGATTCATTAAGTAAAGGAAAAAATTATTAAAATACTACATAAATCACAAACAGGTCAAATAAATCTTGTGTTAGAAATCTTACACTAGTAGAATTTATTAGAATTTATACTACCTTTATATAAATATCCGAGTCATCTTCATATTTTAAGTTAAATATTAAAACCTTTTAATTATATAAGATATCTAATTCTTCATTAATAAAATTTCATAAATTTTGACTTAAAAATTTAAAACAAGGATCAAATACATGCATTTAAATGTTCAAAGAAAGAACTTACATAGAAGTTTCAAGCAGTCATCCTTCTTTTTTAAACGCTCTTTAATATCTCCTGATATGAGTACAGAATATGGACATGCCATTTCTTTTAAAAAACCACTTATCTCAAGCTGGAAGCTTTCTAGATCATCTCTCCCTTTAAAAAAGAAAAATCACAAAACATTTACTGAATATTTACCATATAATCTGATACTATAAAATCTACAAGTTCACATTCAATTCTAAATTTTCCTTTTGACATTAAATCCTTACATGTGTGACCCCAAAGCTTAGGTAAAGGTAACCAAATAATTTCTACATTTAGAAAGTCACACTTAAATTCAGAAACATAAGTATCAATTTAAGAATATAAATATGTAATTATGAGATTATAAATATTTTTATATTTAAATTTGATTAGCATTTTCCAATATATGTTCCATAAATCAGATAAAATGGGAATATTTTTGTATGAGTAATAAAAATATTAAAAACATTATTATGGCTATAATTATTAACTGGTTTCAGAGCTAATGATATTTCTATGGATTCAGATCATAAATGCAGTCATCTAATTAAGCCTCACTGCTTATCTTTCTTTCATAACCTAATTATATGGGAGCCTGTGTCATGTATTTTGAATTTAGCTTATCTTACTTAGTTTCGAGGGAATTCTATTAGATATGGCAAGAAAAAAAATAACTTAAAGACAGCTTCAAAAGTGAAGTCTACTTTGTCCCCTAGCAAATGCCCAATAATTTATTTTTTCATTTTATTACACCATCTGAAATTCTACCAAAGACCCACAATGACTCCAGTTACCAAGACAGCAATGCATTAAACTTTATGAACAAGTACAGGAATATTTTATAAGATCATTCCTATGTGAATCCATGTCCTGAATTATAGGCTTTGTAATACAACTTAAATTAGGGATTACATGTACTTAAAAAAAAAAAAACAAAAAAAAAAACCACCTTAATCCAAAATAAGCAGCATTCAAATATTAAACTTCTTAAATAACCAAATTCAGAGTCTACTTTTTCTTAAAAATACTACGGTTAAGACAGCAGAAAAATAGAAATTGTTTATAATCTTATACAAATTTTAAGAATGAATTTTGGATTAATATAGCATTTAATACAATATATTGAAGTTCTTAATATCAATGATTTTTCTTTGTATAGATTTTTCTTTTTCTAGTACATTTTAGATAAAACTGTAAATCATAAGCTATCATTTCATTTTACTATTAAACAAAAAAGTAAATAAAACAATGGCAATACCAGCTGAAGTGATACTTTCTTCCAAGTTGCATAATGATTTTATTTGAGAGCCTAACCAAACACAGAGCTCTGAAAATTCAGGTGAAGATAGTCCACCCTCAGCTGCCTTGGTAAGGGCTTGCTCTTCTAACAGTGGTCCCTTATACCTAGAAAGAAAGACATAAAAGGTTAAAAATTAACAAAAACCTCATATTCTTTCTCACAGCCTACTGCCTATTTTTGTAAATAAAGTTTTATTAGAGTACATCTGATAAACGTATCCATTTACAGACTGCCTCTGGCTGCTTTCACACTGCAATGGCAGAATCGAGTCATTGTGACAGAGATAGCATGGCCAGCAAAGCCTAAAATTTCTACTATATGCTCTGTTATAGAAATGGTTTACTGATTTGTGCTCTATATAATTAACATTTGGCTTTTTCCCTATATTTTAACATCTTTTAGTAAAATTATCAACCAATTTTAAGAGAAACATTACATATAATAAAGTCAAATAGAGCTAAGTCTAATAATTATACTGGTTAAAGGAATAAGAAAAAAGGAAGTAGTGACAAAACAGATGCAAATTTTAAATTTAAAAAGTTAAAGTTGAAAAAGACCTATGACAGTGATGGCAAACCTATGACACACGTTGTCAGAGGTGACATGCGAACTCAGTTTTTTGGTTCATTTTTCTTTGTTAAATGGCATTTACATATATAAAATAAATATCAAAAATATAAGTCTCTGTTTTACTATGGTTGCAAATATCAAAAAATTTCTATATGTGACACGGCACCAGAATTAAGTTAGGGTTTTTCAAAATGCTGACACGCCGAGCTCAAAAGGTTCGCCATCACTGACCTATAAGATCATTTTAACCTAAACCATTTCTTTTATAATTTTACTAGAGGTCCAGTGCACAGATTCATGCACTGGTGGGGGGGCGTGGCCTGTGGGAATCAGCTGAGTGGTGAGCATATGACCCCCGGTGGTCAGTGCACATCATAGCAACTGGTTGACCAGTTGTTCTGGTCGTTCTGCTGTTCGGTCACTGAGCTTTTGTAGACTAGAGGCCCAGTGCACAAAATTTGTGCATGGGGGGTGTTTCCCTCAGCCCAGCCTGCACCCTCTCCAGGATCAGGCCTAAACTGGCAGTCGGACATCCCTTTCACAATCCTGGACCACTGGCTCCTAATCGCTCACCTGCCTACCTGCCTGGTTGCCCCTAACTGCCCGCCCCTCCCAGCCTAATCGCCCCTAACTGCCCCTCCTGCCGGCCTGGTCGCCCCTAACAGCCCCCCGCTGTCAGCCAGGTTGCCCCCAACTGCCCCCTCCCTGCTGGCCTGGCCTGGTCACCCCTAACTACCCCCCTGCCAGCCTGGTCACCTCTTACTGGCCCCCCTGCCGGCCTGGTCACCCCCAACTGCTCCCCTCTGCTGGACTGGTCGCCCCTAACTGCCCCCCCTGCCGGCCTGGTTGCCCCCAACTGCCCCCTCTTGCATTCAGTCGTTTGGTCATCCCTCACTAATCCCCCTGCCAGCCTGGTCGCCCCATGCAGCCTGCTTATTAAGTCGTTTGGTCGTCCCTCACTAACCCCCCTGCCGGCCTGGTTGTAGGCAGCCATCTTGTGATGGTGTGAGGGTTAATTTGCATATTACCTTTATTATATAGGATACTTTCAAACACTGCTACAAAGTTTACTTGAATAGTACCTTAAATTTTTTAACCATCTTATAAATTATCTTAATTGAATTAGATATGTTTTCTACTTTATTCCTCTTTCTGCAACTGAGCTTTTGTTTCACATTATAAACTTATAGATTTTAACATATTTGATGAGTTTTAATCCACTGTAGTTATTTTTCTTTTCAAACAGTCCTACCTTTGGTTAGTGAGAGGCCATTCTTCTTTGATTTATCCCCAGTATTCTTCGAATACTTTCCTTGATTTCTTTGACAAGATGTTCTTGTCCTGTACTTGTAATTGGCCATTTCTCCAAGAAGCCCTGATTCTTTTTAATGGTATTTAGAGTACACAACCTGGTACTAAAGGTTAGTCACTGTATCTGAAGCTTTTTCAAAGAACTTACATCAGGATTTCACATTGCTATTTCCAATTCAAACTTAGAATTGTGGGGTTTTTTTACTTAATTTGTTTTGTATTTTTATCTATTTTCTCTAAAATTGTGGTTTTTTACTATTTTTATCTATTTTCAATAAAAAAAATATGGTTTCTAATAACATTTACATAATCCTAGTAAAAAATATAAGCTACATATAGTTTCAGAGTAGGAAAATCAGCATTTTTACTAACAACAAAATCACTGAAAACAATTTATGTTTTTATGTTTTAGAATATATTCCAGTAAGGACATATTTTTAAAAATTCCTTTCTGTGATTAAACCACCTACTCAACATATCAACAGACCTTAGTTTCATTTTGCTTTACAATTTAGAAATTTGTCTCTTGTTTTGTTCTGATTTCATTTTTAATTTTGCTTTATAATTACGTAAGACATTTATATGGTTTCAAAGTCTAATTTACAAAACAAGGTACATTCAGACAAATCTACTTAACAATCTCAATTGTGTTGCCTCTACTCTGGTTCCCTCCCTCCCCCAAAGGTAACCACATTTATTAGTTTTGGGATGTCATTCCACAATGTTTTTAAAAACAAACATATACTTTTCCTTTTTTTAGATAAAAGGTAGCCTTCTACATACTGTCCTATTCCGTGCTTTAAGCACATATATATTCACATACACATATTTACATATACTAGAGATCAACGGAAATACTACTCAATAATTTTTGTTGTCAAATAGTACCTCTCTGTCTGGATGCACCCTAGTTTATTCACTATGCCCTGACTGAAAGATATTTGGGTTAGTACATCGTTTTCCTATTATAAAAACTGGCAGATTTTTGTCAGTATATATCTGGGATAGATTCCTAGAGTTGGGACTGTTAGGTCAAAGAGTAAATGGATATGTAATTTTGCTGGATACTATTATATTTTCTTCTACAGGGGTTGTGTAAGTACCCATTCCTCATAATTCACCACAATTGTCAAACATTTGGATTTTTGACTATTTGGTATCTCAGTATAGTTTTAATTTACATTTCTCTTTTGAGCAAGGTTGTACATCTTTTCACATGTTTATAGGCCATTTGCATTTCCTTTTCTCTGAATTCTCTGGTCATATCTCATGATATTTTCAAATCCCCATTTTACAGGTAAGAAATTAAGGGTTAATGAGGTTAGGATACCTGCTTTATAAGTACTAGGCTAGGCAAAGTGCTAGTCACATATATATATTCATATTTATAAATATATATACTCATATTTATAAATATATTTATTTATAATTCATTTAATGTTTACAGCAATAATTTGAAGTTAGTATTATCCTAATTCTGGGTCAGAAAATAACTAGATGAGGACATAATAATTTAAACCCAAATATGAACCCAAATGTTCCATGTGAACTATAAACTCTGCCTACACTATTAAGGAAACTAAGCCAATAACCTGGCTAAGTTATGCAATCAGGTAAAGGCAGAGCTAGGACTAGAGTCTAGTCCAGTGATGGCGAACCTTTTGAGCTCGGTGTGTCAGATTTTGAAAAACCCTAACTTAACTTTGGTGCCGTGTCACATATAGAAATTTTTTGATATTTGCAACCATAGTAAAACAAAGATTTATATTTCTGATATTTATTTTATATATTTAAATGCCATTTAACAAAGAAAAATCAACCAAAAAACTGAGTTCATGTGTCATCTCTGACACGCGTGTCATAGGTTCGCCATCACTGGTCTAGTCACTAGACCACTGTCTTTGCTCCTCTAGACAAAACTGGTTCCTCTATGCAGTTACCTTTCTTCCATGTCTTACAGTGCCTCTCATTGAGATTTAATCGTAAACATCTTTATTTCCCCCTACTTGCTTGCATTTCTGCAATAATCATAAACTCTTGAATAAATGTATCTAATTCGTATAGTTGGTGCTATTTTCACTCAAATGCCAACCACAATTCAACAAAATTGATTAAATCACCAGAAATAAAGAATTGCATTGGTTCTCAACCTTCTGGCCCTTGAAATACAGTTCCTCATGTTGTGACCCAACCATAAAATTATTTTCGTTGCTACTTCATAACTGTAACGTTGCTACTGTTATGAATCATAATGTAAATATCTGATATGCAGGATGGTCTTAGGCGACCCCTGTGAAAGGGTCGTTCGACCACCAAAGGGGTCGCGACCCACAGGCTGAGAACAGCTGATTTAGAGGGAGAAAACCCCACAATCCTTAATGCCTCTGGTTTCATCAGATCGATATAAAGAAAAAAAATGCATTTAACAAACCTAACATCTAATAACAATCACAATACAACTAAAATTTATAAACTGCTCTTATAGTAGGCCAGTGTTATGTGCTTTATGTATATTGCCTCATTTAATTGCCACAATGTCCTAAAAGGTATTATTATTTTGCTAGTTTGTCTAGTATCTATTTATAGGAGAGTGCTACTCTTATCCACATTGGAGATACCTCCCCTAGGCCAGCCTCCCCCAGGAGTCCTCCATACAGTGGAACCATAGCTGCTGGCCTGACACTTCAAACTGTGTGATCCAATCTTCAGTCTGTTAGGGCCATTGGCAAACCTCCACAAAGACACAGCCAGATCCTAATTTACTTTGTTTTCTATTTTTATTAGCCAGTATACTAGTATAAAACATGAGATCCTTTCCCCTGTCATCTGCCCAACCTATTGGCTTGCCTCTGATCCTGTTCTCCACTTCTCCCTGCTTCCCAAATTCTTCCACTATGTTCCATCCATAAACAGCAACTCTCCTATACTGTCAATCTCTTCTCAGAAAGATTATCCCTACCACCCTAGCTTTGGCTAGTTTACTCTCTCCATCAGATGGCAGGGTTTGTCCTCCTTGCTTCCCAATATAGCATCCGTATCATTGCTCCCTCATTTTCTTAAAAATATCTGCTGCTCTCTCCAGGCTCAAGCCAGTCAGATTTGCCACCCTCTTTCTCTTGTGATTTTCATCTACCAATCTCTTGGGTACTCCCCAACATTCCCTGTGCTCTCTTTTCCTTTCCATCCCTTTTTTCTTTTTTTGTCATTATATTAAGTTTCTTCAGAGTCCACACATATACCCTACCCAGTACCCTGAGCTCTCAATTCTCTAACTTTCTCTTTTCCATCCTTTGCCACTACATCCTAGACCAGTGATGGCGAACCTTTTGAGCTCGGCGTGTCAGCATTTTGAAAAACCCTAACTTAACTCTGGTGCCGTGTCACATATAGAAATTTTTTGATATTTGCAACCATAGTAAAACAAAGACATATTTTTGATATTTATTTTATATATTTAAATGCTATTTAACAAAGAAAAATCAACCAAAAAACTGAGTTCGCGTGTCACCTCTGACACGCGTGTCATAGGTTCGCCATCACTGTCCTAGACCTTGCTATCACCTGGAACTACTCCATCTTGGAAATCATTAATTCAAATATGTCACTTCCTGACCACAACCTACTATCTATGCTTTCAGCTTGTTCTTTTGACCAGTCACCTATAACTACTCTTTAATATCATCTCTACCTCCATTCCATTGGTTCCTCCACATTCTCTGCATTGACTAGCTCTCTGCTGTCTTTACTTTCTTCCCTATTCAATTTAGATTCCAATATATATTTCATTTTGGTGCTAAATAAATGCCTATTGCAGAAATGAATCCTTGATACCATCATCTCCTTCAGCTCTAATATCCAATCAATCACTAAGCCCTATAAATGCACTTCTTTCCATATCCACTGCCACTAAGCTACCATCACTTCTTGCCTATACTAACTAAATTCTCCAATCCACTCTCCACCTTGCTGACAGAGGTAACTTTTCAAACTAGACATCTAATCACTCCCTTTTTTATTTAAAATCCTTCAATCATAAAGATGGTAGCATAGGTAAGCACAGTACTCGCCTCCTTCCACAACCACATCAAAATTACAACTAAGCTACATAACAACCATCATTCAGAGCCGCCTGAAATCTGGCTGAACAGAAGTTCTACAACTAGAGAATTAAAGAAGCCACATTGAGACTCTGTGTGTGTGTGGGGAAGGGGGAGCAGGGGCGGGGAGGGCGGGGGGACAAACAGAAGGGGGAAGTTCTCCTGCACAGGAGCCCTCCTGGAAGGAGAAGAGAGGGAGCAAGAAATTGAAAACCTATTTGAAAAAATAATGACAGAAAATTTCCCTTACCTGGTGAAAGAAATAGACATACAAGTTCAAAAGCACAGAGTCCCAATTAAGATGAACCCAAAGAGGCCTACACCAAGATACATCATAATTAAAATGCCAAAGGTTAAAGGTAAAGAGAGAATCTTAAAAGCAAGAGAAAAGCAGTTATTACCTACAAGGGAGTGCCCATGTGACTGAGCTGATTTCTCAACAGAAACTTTGCAGGCCAGAAGGGATTAGCAGGAAATATTCAAAGTGATGAATAGCAAGGACCTACAACCAAGATTATTACTCTACCAGCAACATTATCATTTAATATTGAAGGTCAGATAAAGAGCTTCACAGACAAGAAAAAGCTAAAGGAGTTCACATGAAATGGTGAAGGGTATTCTTTAAGAAGAGGAAGAAGGAAGAAGGAGGAGAAGGGAAAAGAAGGGAGGAAGAGGGAGGAGAAAAGGGGAGGAGGAGGAAGAGGATAAAAAATATGAACAGTAAAATGGCAATAAATATAAAAAAATAAATGAACAAGGAATCTAGTGAACAAAATAAACTGATGAATAAAATAGAACCAGAGGCATAGAAACATGGAATAGACTGAGGAATCTCAGAGGAAATGAGAGAGGGGGCGTGAGAAGAGATTAACCAAAGAACTTACATGCATACATGCATTACCCATGGACACAGACAACAGGCTGATGAAGGCCTAGGGTGGAGTGGAATCCGGGAAAAGGGGGGCAGTGGGGCGGGGGGGGAGGACATCTGTAATACAGTACTCTCAACAATAAAGATTAAAAAATAAATAAATAAAGCCCTCAAACATGCCCCATTGCCGTTATGACAAATAAGAAAACCACAACATAGCCTAAAAGGTGCCGCATGCCCTAGTCTTCACCTAATTCTCCAATCCAGTCTTCACCACTCTGGCCTTTGCTCTCTGCCCTCCGGCCTCTTAGCCTCCTTCCAGTTCTTCTAATCAGCATGCTCCTTTCCTCTTGTTCTCACTGTAAGGACACCTTTGTCCTCCCTTCCAATCCAACATCTCCTAGTTAACTCCTATTCACCCTTTCTTTTTCAACTCAAATACCAACTCCTCAGAAATCTATAACTAACCTCCCTAAGACTATATAGGTCCTCCTGTCATGTTATGTCATCCTGCTCTTTTCCTTTAAAACACTTGTTATCAGCGTTAATAAATATCTGTGTGATCATGTCTGTTTCTCCACTAGACTGTAGCTCCACAGGACAAGGACCTATTTTGCTTACCATGGACCTCTCAGAACAGTATAGAGTTGTGCTCAATAAATATTTGAAATAAACTTCTCTCCATAATGGTGGTTTGCAACCTAGGCTGTGAAGCTTGTTTTTAAAAATGCATGCTTGGCCAAACCGGTTTGGCTCAGTGAATAGAGCATAGGCCTGCGGACTGAGAGGTCCCAGGTTCGATTCCGGTCAAGGGGCATGTACCTTGGTTGCGGGCACATCCCCAGTAAGAGGTGTGCAGGAGGCGGCAGGTCGATGTTTCTCTCTCATTGATGTTGCTAACACTCTATCCCTCTCCCTTTCTCTCTGTAAAAAATCAATAAAATATATTTTTTTAAAAAATGCATGCTTGTACTGCATCCCAAAAAAAGATCATGATTCACTCAGCTTATAGCATATACGAAACCAGAACATTTTTTCACAAGCTCCATACATGATTTTGATGCACAATCAGGGTTGAGATCCACTGTGGTACAAAATCAGAGACTCTCAGAACTGAAAGAGACTTCTGAAATCTCAGATCCTTTCACAGATGAGAAAACTAAGTTATTTTTACCCTACCATTTATAACAGACCATATCACTAAACTGTTCTTTCACATAGATGTCTGCTTTTAATTCCTCCCTTTAGTTACCTGACAAACTAAAGTACCTTCATGATATCTCACGTTTCAATCACAATAGAAAATTACTTACAATCATACATAGACAGTATTTTAAAACACTGTTCAATTATA